TTTCCCCACAAAAGCTATAGGCTGACTTCGGATGCTAAGAAAGCCAAGGTCACAGGTAAGGGCTGGGTGGGGGCTCCTTGTGAACAGGAAGGGGCAGAGACAGCCCAGCCCCAGGCCTTGCTGGGCCTACGGGTTCATACCTGTGAGCCAGCACATCGTCGCCAGCCGAGTGGAGCAGTGTGCCCAGCGTGGGCGCATCTGAGCCTGTGAGTGGCTGAGGACTGCAGGGCAGACCCAGGCTGTGAGCCGTACAGACCTTGAGCCGCTCTTCTCCCTTCCAACTTGTGGCCCAGGAATCGTGCAAGAGAAGCTGCTGAATGACTACCTGCACCGGGTCTTTGCTGCACCTGATCACACGGCCCCTGCAGCCGCCAGCAGGTATGACCAGAGCTCACTCAGCTGGCCAGGCCGGAGCTGGAAGCAGCAGGGATTGGGGGAGAGGGGAACTTAGACTGGGCAGGCTGGCCAGGGACTGTCAGCCAGTCAGTTTAAGGCATCTTCATCTCTGTACATACTCCTAGTCCCTTCCTCTAAGGGGGTAGTGGAGGACGGAGCGCACATTCAACTTCCAGCATAGCACCTGCTATCGACATCACATTCAGCATCCGGTCCTTGCCCACGTTCCCACACCACCCTCCCTTGGCCCGGCCCCTTGGATCCTCATCCTGAACCCATAAAGCCAGACCTTCCCTTGTGAGTATCCAAACAAATGACGCACAGTGACCCTGTCGGACAAGGAAAAACTGCCCTGTGGGTTTCCGAGACGGTAGCTCCTTACTGGAATAGAAAGCCCTATCTGTCTGCCATGGAGCAGCTGGTGGTTTTGAACTGCCGATCGTATGGTTAGCAGCCAATGCGTGACTCACTATAGCACCAGGACTCCCCTCGTAAGTGTAGCTCATGTTATTCCATACCCTCTCAGAGTGACAACTGAACTGTAGCAGAAACCTGCAAACAGACAACAAAAGGACAGATCGTGGTCTGCAGAGAAAGCAACTTTCTTTTTGTGTGTGCGCGTCTCTGTCAACTTCAGTTGCTTTTTTTAAAAAACAGCCTTATTGAGGTATGCTTATTATTGGCCCATAATAAGTAGCACGCACTGAAAGTATACAGTTTGATGCTTTGACATACACGTGACCTTCTGGGTGCTAGATGCGTGTGTAGCGTTTGGAACCCTCTTCCCGTCACTGAAGTTATCCCACTGGTGGTTTTCTTCATGTCATAGGTAGATCTTGGTGGGCCTCCCGGAGATGGGGGGGGGGTGTCTGCTGTGGCTGTTAGCGTTGCCCGGGAGGCGGTGGGGGTGGGGAGGGATTTGACTTCCGTTACCAGTGCTCAGAGGCTACCTGGGATGGGCCTGCGGTGGTGAGAGCCTTTGGCCTTCAATGATTTTCAAGGCTGTTTCCAAGTTGCTTCTATAAAGGGTCTTGAAAATACATGAGAATAAAGGGTCTCCCAGGCCCCCACACCCCATTCCCTGCCCCTCCCCTCCCCGCCTTTGCTCCGAGCAGGCCAGAGGGCAGCAATGGTGGTTGGTGCCTGTCCCATTTAAACAGCTGTAGTGGCAATGGGAACCCACCCCAGACCGGGCCTGTTCCAGGGCCATCTGATCCCTGCCTCATGTGATACTGGAGAGGGCCCGGCTCTGCTGCCACCAGTGCTCTGGCCGCTAGCAAGGGAAGCAGGTGGTGGGCCGTCAGTCAGTGGTTGTGGGAAGCAAGGCCCTGAGCTGGGACATGGCAAATCCCAAAGGGGCAGACGAGTGCTGGGCTGAACTAGACAGGGTGCTGTAAGCTGTGGGCCTGGGTTGTCTGCTCTCAGGGACCGGGAGCCCCTGCTCTCAGACACCTGGAGTGACCCTCGACAGCCGGCCAGCCTGCAAACAGTACTCTGGGCGAAGCCCTCCCGCGCCTCCTGCCCCTCCCTGCCCAATCTCCCTGGGCCCACTGAGCCCTCAGAGACCGGCTGCCCTGCTGCAGCCTTCCCCATGGCCTCGGCCTGGCCTCATTGGGGAGTAGGGAGGGACTTAGTGCACCTCTACCTCCGGCAGCTCTAGCTCAGGGCTCAGAAGTGGTTCAGAACCAGCGTGCCTGTGGTCCCTGAGCTTAGACAAACTCCTTTGGTGTTTCGCCCCTCTGCATCCTTCCCCAAGCCTCCCTCTAGTGGACGAGGCGGGTAGGGTTAGGATTGTGGGGAAGAGCCGAAGGCTGGGCTCAGGGCTGGGCTGGATGAGGTTTCTGCTCTGCCCCAGCTCCGCTGGTCACCTCCTCCTGCTATTGTTAGCACTGAGCTCAGGATGAGCCAGCCCGTGTGACGTGTGTAGGGAGGTAGGGCCACCTGGAGAGGTTTTCCCAGCTCCTTTGGTGGTGGCAGGTGGTCATATGCTCCATTGGCAACCCATTGTCCAATGGGTGCAGGATGGGGCCAGCAAGCCACCCCAGGGGCCGGGGCCATGCCTTTGTGCCACCGGCATGGGTCAGACTGAGAACCAAGACTGCCCGGCTGGGTGGCGGCTGCATTGGAAGTCGGACCAGAGAAGAACCACAGGTCTGGCCAAGGCTGCACTAGCTGTCCTGGGTCCTGCCCACCTTGGAGACTGGCGTTTCCCTCAGGCTTCCTCTCTGCCGACAGCAAGCCCCCGTGTTGGAGACTGGCACTCCGGACACTCTGGGGGAGCAACCTGACAGACACCCTGTGCCCAGTGTGCAACCGGGGACTGACAGACAGCCCAGTGCCCAGTGTGCAGCCGGGGACTGACAGACACCCTGTGCCCAGTGTGCAGCCGGGGACTGACAGACAGCCCTGTGCCCAGT